TGATGGAGAATGTCCTCTATAGGTGGAACATACCGCAAAACATTTCCTGTTTACATGAACTTATGCCTGATATATGAACTAAAGAGTCTTAATGTTTTACTGTGTATGTTTTGGTTTCCTGCCACTTCTTTAAATTGGGTGCCACTTCTCATGCTCTCCTATTCTCAACAATGCATGTGCATTGGGATCAAGGGTGTAGAATCCAGTGCTATACTGTGATAGGAAGGGAATGTAACCTGGTAGGGTGAAAACTTCAGCCACACTTAAGTCCTTGGAACCAATTTTTTTGGTAGACCAACACGTTTCAGCTTGTGGTCTTCTTCAGGGTCCAGGACAGGATAGGAAATTGAAGTTATTTTTGTCTCTATGTCCCTATCTTATCTTTTTTTTTGTCAATTTAAGGATGAGCCGTGTAAAAAATAATGCTTCTATATGCCCTATATCTACATGTTTTTAACCTTTCCTTTTACTTTACTTCCTTTAAAACAAACTTAGGTTCTACTTTTGTAGTTTAATGCATTGTCAAATATAGTCGATTATTCTGGTTCTCATTATGGAGGGACATTTTAATGCTGTTTGAAAACCCGCAATGGGTGAGATAATTGTTAGCCAATTTCTTGGCTAGTAAATCTATCATTTATACTTTGATAAGGCATCATGGGTTCTAATGATACAGTACTTATACCTGTGGCCAAAACAGAGAAAAAAAGAGAAAATGAAAACAGAACTGCAGTTTTCTTCTGCTAATTCTCGTAGCTCGCGCTCATACGTACGTTTTTTTCTTTAACTTTAACTTTTTAACCTTATGTTGACTTGCCATTAGTGTTTGGGTTGAGCTGGACGTCGGACCCTTCTAAATATCCACAAAATCCATCTTGAATATAACACTTCAATTGTTTACTAGTTAGGACCCATTTTTAATATGGACAAGCTTAACGTCGCATCCCCAAGCAGTCTCTTCAAGTTTAAGCATCCAGCATCCAAGATCTCTGGGGGTGAATAATTTTCTTTATCTTTGAAGAGAGTATTATGTGGCCCAGTAGTGAATTACTAATGGATCATCACAACCGTTTTTGAGACACAATACCTTCACTTTAGTGGTAGTTCACATGAAATTAGAAAAACAATATCAATAGCATTGTATATTGTCATGTGATCATATTGTAAAACCTACAATCTACATTTGTTTTGTGAAACAGGAGAAGAGTTATGACTGTACCATCTAAGGGTTTTTTTCAGTTGCTGCTGGGAAAGTAAAATTACTTTACTGTACAAAGATATTTGGTCTTTGTTCAGAAGTAAGAGAACGACAAAAAAGCAAAGGACTGTATGAGTGTAATTTACATGCCAGCCTTCACATGGTGTTTGTGATATTGCTTATGTTTGAAAAATACATGATCCTTGATACTGAAGTGATTAAAGTGGTTGGGCTTTACCCATATATAAGGCTGAAAAGTTGTATTCTTTACTATGACAAAATAAGAGTGCTTCTTAGTGGGCTGCTCAGTGGTGCAGTGGTTAGCACTGTTGCCTTGCAGCAAGAAGGTTCTGGGTTTGATTCCTGGCCCGGGGTCTTTGTGCATGGAGTCTGCATGTTCTCCCTGAGCATGCGTGGGTTCTTTCCGGGTACTCCGGGTACTCCGGCTTCCTCCTACAGACCCCCCCCCAAAAAAAAACATGACTGTAAGGTTAATTGGCTTCTCTAGAAAATTCTCCTTAGGTCTGAGTGTGTGCGTGAATGGTTGTATGTCCTGTTTGTCTCTGTGTTGCCCTGTGATAGACTGGTGACCTGTCCAGGCACCAGCACCCCTCGCAACCCCAATTGGGAGAAGCATGTCAGATAATGGATGGAGTGCTTCTTAGTCTATATCAATAGGAGTGAGTTAAGATGGATAGGGGATTCATACGGGATGCGCTCTGTTTACCCATCTTTGGAAGTTTTTTTATTGCCGATCTCCAATTGACTTTAGACTTTAGAGTCTTTGGAAGGTATTACATATGCTCTTTGCCCCCGGGAACATCTAGGGTTCCCCCATGGTGCACTAAAGAGTCTTCTTTGGGATGGAGATGCCTGGGAACCCCTCTGGATGGATGGATGGATGGATGGATGGATGGATGGATGGATGGATGGATGGATGGATGGATGGATGGATGGATGGATGGATGGATGAAAAAAGCTGGATTTATTTTATCATGAACATTGTGTTCAACACGTGAGATCTTCTGATTTGTGCTTGAGTTGCATTAATCAGATCATCCTTCTTAATTTAATGGATTGAAATCTCTCTTACATGCTCCATTCTCAGGTAAAAATAACCTGATTATAAGGGATCAATTGCAAGAGCTGAAGAGGACAACTGGCAGCTAACATCTATTTATTGAAAAAGCCACTCCACTGCCTGGCTCTCTTTGGCCTTCCATACTTCTATGAGCATTAAGTGTTTTCTTCAATTTGCACCCAGAATGAGCACAATGGCACAGGTTCCCACATCTGCTGCCAATTTTGTATTCAATACCACAAAAGTCTCTTTCAGGGAAATGAAAAACCTCATTTGATTATGCAGCAATTACATCAACACTCTTTGCTATGAAAGTGTAAAGGGGCCAGGATCCCAAATATAAAAAGCTGGTTATGATTTGGTTATGACTGTGCCCTTTTTGACCAAAACGGATGTTTGAAATGATGACAGTATCCAGCAGCGCTACTCACTTCCAGTAAATGTTGTCTTGCAGTAAATTCGACCCGTTTGTGCTTTACATTAATAAAGAGTTTATAGTTAATGCATTTCACCCCGTGTTACATGCAAAATCAAAGCAAGAAGAGGTTGAGTCAAAATGTGAGGGATGGCTTCAATCATCCAACAAGAGATAATCTTGCTTATGTTTCTTTTTTTCACAAAATCTTTGAGATACAAATGTGTCGATAGGGTGGCCAGAAGTCCGGCTTCAGTCCGGATTTTAATTGCACCCGATGCACATTTGTCCTTTTTTATGAGGCGTGAGGCTTAAAGAGCAGATTTATTCCCATTTTTGCCGGGCTGCAGCACAATATATGATCATAAAAAGTAAAAAAAAAATACCTAAAGTATCTGGTCTAACAGATGATTGGCCAAAAGTGGTGCAATGTCAGATAAATATCTGTTTGTCATTGGTTAAAAAAGTAAAAAAGGATCAGACTGATGCTAAGTTATACATTGACAGAAAGTTAGCATCTTGCCAAAACACAAGACTCTGTTTAACTCTGAATGGACAACAGAGCATGAATTTATGATGAAAAGTAGTTGAGACTCATTATATGGCTTCTGCACATTTTATCGATGTGATTTGGACATTAGCTGTTGAGGGAAAGATGCAATTGAACAGCATGTGAGTATGGATTAATGTAAGGCTTTTTTTACATGACATCTCATCGATCCTGGATGCCAAAATTATTTCTGCTGAGCTGTACAAGGTGCATCTTACCGTAAAACATGACCAGTCCAACGGAAGTTTAGATTGTGGCGTGAAAGTGGACCAGAGATTTTCAGGGACTCGCCCACAGCTAAAGGGACGACCTTAAAGACAGCAGGTCTGCTGCACATTGTGGTAACTTTTTGAACAGCACAATGTATTGAGTAAATGCAAATAAACGGTAAACCAATTATTTTTGACTTTTCATTATATTTCCTATTCAGCTTAGTAATTGATGCCACATAATGTCCTCCTTTTTGGTGCTATATATATAGATTAAGGAGTACCTGAATCATGGTTAAAATAAGAAAAAGAGTGAAACTAATAGGGGGGGTGTAAGATGATTGATTTAAAGGTTTGGGCTCGCAGTGAGCCCCTAGAAAATCAGAGCAATGTAAAGCATTGCCAATATTATTGTTCCTTTGTTTAGTTGATGTTATTTACGGTTGGGGGGATCATAATGGTGTAGTAAATATAATCAAGCAGAGGCTTTTGAACACTGTTTTTATGAATTGTAAATGGGTATTCCAAGACTAGCAAAGGAACATCTATTATCACAACACAGAGGGTGGAGGAGTGTTTCTTAGGATCTACTCTAATGGCACACCCGGATCCTAATAATTCAGAAAATGTGGATCAATAAGACTGCTTATGAGACAGGCACCAAAGTATAAGCAGATGACCCAGTTTCTTTTGCAGAAATAAACACTACCATCTTCAGCTAATCAAATTGACAAATAAATGGCTCCAGTTTGGAACAATTAGAGAGCTTTTTTTCTGATTGAATTTGTTGATAAAATATGCATTTAGGCTGAAGACAACACCATCATTACAGGGAGTTATCTCAGCATCCTGTCCATTCTACTCTCTTCCTGTTCTCAGCAGCGACAGCCAATTACATTTTCAACACAAAGCACATAATGGAAACCAATTTAATGCTCCAAGTGAAACCAACCCAGTGACCTCTTTTCAATGTCTTCCTAAGCAGCTGTGTGTGGAGGCCCAGTCCGAACTGGATGCTGACACCTACAGACACTGAATGATGCATTATGTAGAGATCCAACAGAATCTATAAGAGTTCACTACCATATTCATATTGAAATAATCACCTAATGCGTAAAGTTGTGCTTTATCAATATTATCTTGAATAGTTTTAGTGTGCAGGAGGTTCCAATGTGCAAACCACCTGTGGTTTTACAGTACATTATAGAGGGAAAAAGCAGAGAAAATGAACAGACACAGAACATTTTAAGACGTATGAAGAAATCAGCTGGTACTGTAACTGAAACAATAAAGCTTCAGCTTGACCAAACCAGATGGGTGAAAATGTAAAAAATCCAACCTGCATTTAGTGAATGTTAGATGTGCTACCAGGCTGAGCTTAGCTGGAAGTAGTTGATGTACCTTTATCAAGGATGCTAGAGGAACTTTCATTCTATTCTCTCCAAGGTTAAACTAATAAAGCCCATTCTGAATGCAAAAGTATAAAGGTTTGGATCTGTTTAGCTATATTCCAGCATTAAGTATAGCTGGCAGTGCTTAAAACCTACCAAGATCCATGCTTTTGGACTTGCGGTTCTTGATGATGTCCAGATGAGCTGGGCTGTCATACTGCTTGGAGCGCTTTTCTGACATACTCTGCCGGGCGAAGCCTTCTCTCTGGAATGCAGCATCAGGTTCTGCATCGGGACTTAGAGAGCTGTAACGTATCAAGAAGAAAGAGGGAAAATGATGAGAGGCAGATTAAATATATTGGTAAGAAATGTATTTAATTGCAAGATTTTGCACTGCAAAATATTTATATCTATGTAAGACGTTTTTTTCTTAACATAAGTGCATTTTTGTGAGACACTTTGCCAATGGGATAAGACAATTTACATTAAAAATAAGACAAAACAACTGCAGTCTCTTATCTCAGGTGCATAATATCTAATTTTCTTATTTTAAGGGTAAAAATGATAATTCAATTGGCAGGTCATCTTATTTTTCTACTCAAATTAAGGGTAAATACACTTATTTTAAGAAATGTTTACTCATTTTTAAAATCTTTTTGCAGTGTGGAAACATGTTTAAATGTAATCATCTTTATCACATTTCACTGCTGTGACCGGGAAGTCTCCTGCACTGATGAAACTACTGTAACTTATTCATATTTATACATCCACAAGCCTTGGCCCATTTGTTGTCAGAAAATGAAACTCTAAATCCAATACTCACACATGCATATTTACACTATATTATTTAATATCTATTTCAATTACTATTTTAATGAAGTACACCTCCACCTCTGCCCAGGTCTAGAATACACTATAATTAGAAAAAAAGGAGGCTGATACCCCAGTGAGGTGAAAGAGCTGCAGGGTCAGGGACGCTCCATTCCCATCTACTGTAGCCCTCCCCCCAGCGTACGCGAGGAGCAGAACAGAACTCGCTTTAGAGCGCTCCCTTTCAGATCTTTGCTATCTCTGTCTGGATCTTAATTAAAAAAATCAGAGGGATGTAAAAAATGAGGATGGGAGGGAAACAGACTATACTGTCTGTATAAAGAAGAAACGGTGCCGTTTACTCAAAGAAACAATAAGATAACGTTAAAACAATTGGTACTGTATATGCCTCAGATGGCTATCTCTGTGTTTTTGATTCCATCAATTATCATTTAAAGGTATGTTTTCCAGAGTGCTATCATTATTCAGCACAGTTTTAAGGCAATTGAAATAAAGAATTGAGACAACTGTGACTTTACTGTTGAGTTACTGTAGTACAAAGCCTCTTTAATTTATATATACTATGATATATAAATTAAAGAGGCTGAAATGCTGAAAGAATACATTGTTTTGGACTAGGACTAGAGTGTGTGTGTATATATAATTAGCCATTCCTTTGTACGTTTCTGATAAATCATATTCATTTTGTCGCCTGGTACTATTCTGACTCTGAATTTGAGCACTGTTCTTCTCTAAAAACTCAGAGCTAATTCAAATCTACAGGTTTTCTGAAATAGACCTTACTTTTTCTAGAGTTTAACAGGGTTGATTTCAGGGCATGTTCCAGAGCTTAAAGGTATAGTGGAGGATCTCGCAAATTTCTGAAAAGACCTGCCCTCTCCACTTTGAAAAAAATGCACATGCACAACTTTGTGCCGGCTCCAGAGAGGGAACGCCTATTAAAAGTGTGTGAAAGCGTGCACAAGCCCATTTCTCCTCATGTCTAAAAATTGCTGTTTGCATTGCTTATACAAGCTTACTTTCCAAAAGAAGATTCACAATTTTTCCACTATGTCAGACTCACCACCGGTAAGTGCAAATGGGGACGAGCACGTAGGACGGCCTTACGTAAATATATCACCAAAATGAATGACATTTAGGAGGACCACTTATTTTGATGATCCACCCAGAAAAAGAACATCCTCCACCACACTTTACCTCTACTTTTGTTGTGAGGTTAGGATCCTTGTAGCCAAGGTTCCAACATCTAGCTACAATTCTTAATTATTCCTTTGACTTAATGCAATCTATGTCTATCACTGGATGCAACACAGGCCCACAATCCAAAGGCCGGTTTATGCTTGACACAGGTCATCCACATGGCAATGAAGATCAGTGCAACCCAGTAGTTTGCAGGATTTAAATTATGCGTAGCGTTTCACAGCTTTTCCCAAATACTGGCCAACTCTAGGGGGGCATGTAATGGCACAGAGCTTAAGATTAAATCAAAAAACATATAGAAGTAGAATACAGTGTTGTTTCCAGCATTTTCAAAGCCTCTTTGTTCTTTTCCAATAGCTGTTCACAACCTGTTGATCATTGTGATCATTATGGGCCAAATCATAAAGACGCCTCTAGATGTTTATACATGTGCACCGTCTTGAGCAGAAGCTGTCATTTTTCCACGATGTTCTTCTCTGCAGAAATGTTACAAAATCTTCCTGGTGTGTGTGGTACACTGGAAAAAATTAAAATCTAGATAAGTCATTTTTTCTTAAAATAGGTGCATTTATTCTTCGACTGAGGAGGAAAAAGAGAAATTTTGTCAATGGAACAAGACAACTTACACTTAAAATCAGAAAACACAATTGCATTGTCTTATTTCAAGTGCAAATGATCTAATTATCTTATTTTAAGAGTAAAAATACTCATTCCACTGGCAACGTATCTAATTTACCTACTAAAATTAAGGGTAAATACACTTATTTTAGGAAATTTTAGCTTATTTCTAGATGGTTTTTCCAGTGTATGGACGATCAGGTTAGTGTCAATGGCATGTGCTGTGGCCTTGATGCTAAAATGGCATCATTTTTTCAGCATAAACCAGGCTTAATACTGTCACCATCATATATGGCAGGGCCTAAATTGCTCTGTCAACTCGGGGTATTTGCAAAAACTCTCAGCCTGTACTGATGTTAAACTCGTATAACTGTTGTTTCAGCACCATCTGGTTCATGATCACCTTCAGCCTAGAAGATTCCTGGATTGCTTTAAACATCCTGACAAACTGCAGGGTGACGGTTTTATTCAGATGCTTGAATTTGGACATTAGACATGATGCACAATATATTAGGGCTAGGGACAGAAAATATGGACAAGGCAGGCTAACATGAAGTGTATCGATTTAACCAAAATTTCGTGGTTACGCCTGTGTATGTAACTTTGAACCTGCTTTGGCTTAGAAGAAATCCCTTAATTAAAATAAGTAAGCACAGAAAAATGTCAAAGGATGTATAATGTTCATTAAAATCCACCTGAAATGCTAAAAATAGAGTTAGAAAGTCATTGGAAATGTGTTTAAATAAATACATTTAGTAGAACCTTTATTTTGTCTTTGGAGCTGCTGGCACTTGTTTGCATTTAAATAATTCCTTTTCAGGATGTCAACCCTATTTAACAAAATACCTGCTTTGTGTGTAACAGAGCGGCCGGTGACAACTTGTCACTTTGCCATCGACCATACCTGACAATCCTAACTAAGATCAGACTGTCTCACAGGGCCAACTCCAGATGACACGGGGAGAGAGTGAGGCGGAGCGGGAAGAGAGGAATGACAGCACAGATGTATTATTCATTTATTCATCATCTTTTGCTTTTTTCTCCTGTCATCATTCCAGGCCCACAAAATCAGCTTGCCCTCTATTTTCCTTCTTCCACAAATGTCATTTGTCAGAGCATGACTGAGACAGTGCGGGCTAGAAAGGACACATTTTCACCCTGAATTTAGATTTAATTCACTCTGAGTCATGTTGCTTTACTGGGATAATTGAACACACACAGAACAAAGGCGGAATAAGAGGCCGGCAGTGGCAGTGTTGTTAAGTTATAGAGACTTGATGAATGTGTGACCATTCGGGAGAGTAATTATGCAGACAAACGGTCAGCATCCAACTTGTCTGGGTGAAAATGGTGAGGAATCTGTGGGCAGTAGGAGTGAAGTTCAGTGAGACAGCGCTGCAGTAGTGTCAATTCACTTAGTAGGGAATAAGATCTGTTTAAGCTGGCAACTGTTTCAGCACCGTTTTTGATTAAATCTGAAACACACGGAGGGATGACTAAACGCACAGCATGGAAGGCTACAAAAACCTGGTGAGAAAAAGCAATTGTATTATCAAAGAAACCCTCTGTCTCAACTACAAGTGATTGTTTTTGGAATTGTGTTGCCAATTTTGATTTACTGATTCAAAAGAGGCATAATTTATTTAGATATAATAGTATATTAAGGTTGGATTCCAATGTGACCAAATGTGAAATGTTTTAAATAATTTAACAAACGATAACTACCACCTATTAAACACTTTATTTAGTCTATCCACAGAATAAACTTGTTTTCTAACGATTTTATATACACACCAAAAGAAAGGTGTCCTTATGTTCTGCTTGACCTTAGAGCAATCCACTAGTATTTGCAGAATATTATCTGATAAACCTAAATGTTCTATATACATTACAGGGTTCCGACAGAATAAGGCAAGTTAAATTCAAGACTTTTTAATGCCACTTGAAAGAAAAAAATGAAGACTAAATTCACAAGAAACAGAAGAAAAACCAGCTTGCGACAACTTAACCCAAAGGTTTATTTTAACATAAACCACTGCACTAATGTTTAAAATTTTGAAAAGCTTCCCATACAGGAAGAAAGCTAAAAACACACAAATGACAGATATATTTTAACAATTATTTAACTGAATTCACAAACTTTGTTTTAGCAGGGAACAAAACAAATCAAGTCTTTTTTGCAGTTATTTTTCTTTGTATCGTTTTCTTAGTACGTTTGATTTGGTCATAAGTGGAGGCGTTGCAGAGACAAGGGTGGAAACGAGAAATACCGGCTGTTTCTCTGTAACTCGATTTTGACGCTTTGTGTTTCGTGCTACGCATGTGACTCCACTGCCTTAATTCCCATCGTCCAGATCTTGAATCGCTTCTTGCACAAAATCCACTGAGCCTCATGTATGTTCCCTGGTTTTAGCCATGGAGAAAACTCTTGGCTGGATAACCAAATTTCGTTACATTTACACTTGCTCATATTTTCCAGACAAAAAGTAAATGGTGCATCTCCCAAATGTCCCGGCCGCAACAACGCTTTTATTGGTTCCGCTATCGGGATGGAACCAATAATGGCGAGCCATTATTTTTTTTTTTATTATTATTAAAAAATTATAAATTTTAGTGTTTTATTTAGAAGACAAAAATAAATCATAATAATAATAAT